ATCACTTCAAAAAACTGCAACCTGACAAATGACTCTATAAATATTCACAATGGTAGCTACTGTAAACACCCAGGATGATACTGCCACACCAATGATATCAAAACCAACTAATTCAAAAGTTACAAAGCACTGCACCCTGTCCTATGCACGCCTTTGGAAAAAAAAAAGAACAAATACTTAATTATCAACATTTTACTTAAATCACTTCAAAAAACTGCAACCTGACAAATGACTCTATAAATATTCACAATGGTAGCTACTGTAAACACCCAGGATGATACTGCCACACCAATGATATCAAAACCAACTAATTCAAAAGTTACAAAGCACTGCACCCTGTCCTATGCACGCCTTTGGGTGTATTGTTCCACTAGAAGAGTCAGTGGTCTCCTGACAACTGACTTCACATTATTATTTGGCAAAAAGGGGGTAGGTAGGGTGGCATCAGTCTTACCATGCTATGATTTAAAGTCATGAAATTCTAACACATTCTAGCGATGTGCAGCTTCAGTTGAAACTAGATGTTTCACACTGGATTTGTTGGTTTACAGAAAGTTTCAGCTGAGCAAATTTACATTTTCACATGTTATTAAAGGTCTTGGAAACTGCTGAACAGTCATTAAAATGTAAAATCACAAGATTCGCCCAAGTCTCACATTGTTCACAAAACCAGGTGGATGCATGCTCTGCTCCCAGTGGGGGCTACACACTTGATTTGGCATTAGGGGGAGTCACACATTTGCGCTTTTGGTGGGGACCACAGCACGGAGGTCCCTGCATTTTAACCAAGAACGAAGACAAAGCAACCTGATTAAAAGTAGCTCATTGTAATGTGGGACACGGCCTATGCTAATGCTACTAGAGCTTAACAGGCCCTACTCCAGAAGAATAGTAAACAGGTGCAATTTACAAACATTTACTGCTGGCAGAGGACTCTGCATTTCCATCCTTAGGAAGCAGCAGCTCTTCGGTACAATTTGGGGCAGGGACTGCCCAGGCCAGGAATATTCCAAAGAATTATATTTAAGCAGCCACAGTACCACTTGTGCCACAGCTGAGAACAGTCATCCCCTTTTGTTAGTTAGCTCTCCCTTTCTGCACTGTGGCAAAGGAAGCACTTAGACCTGGAGGTGCTGACCACCCATCCATAGTGAAATATCCTTCAGGGTGTTCTGCTACAAGAGTGATTTTCCTCCATTAAAGAAAAAAATGACCCTCTCAGTCTGCAGATGATGTTGGTTTTCTGGCCTGAGAAGAAAAAAAGATAGGTAGACTGCCCCTAGTAAAGACAAAATATCCTGGAACCAACACTGCTACAACACCATTGCATACTAGAAGAGAGATAACTCAAAAGAATTTTCAAAAATATAAAGTGGAGTATGGCATTCTGCTTCAGCCTTAAAAGCCACGGTGGTGACTATACAATGGACAAGGAGGGCTGTAATAAAATATGGAAATATGGAGCCAAAAATTCAAAACACGAAGGCTACGTCTACACTGCAGGCTTCTTGTGCAAGAACTGTTTTGCGCAAGAGTTCTTGTGCAAGAGCACATCCACACTTCCATGTGCTTTTGCACAAGAGCGTCCATGGCAGTGTGGACACTCTTTTGTGCAAGAAAGCTCTGATGGCCATTTTAGCCATAGGGGTTTCTTGCGCAAGAAACCCCTATGGCTAAAATGGCCATCAGAGCTTTCTTGCACAAAAGAGTGTCCACACTGCCATGGACGCTCTTGTGCAAAAGCACATGGAAGTGTGGATGTGCTCTTGCACAAGAACTCTTGCGCAAAACAGTTCTTGCACAAGAAGCCTGCAGTGTAGACGTAGCCTATGTGTGAAGCTCTGTTTTGAAGCCTACACTGGCAAAGGCAGTGGGAATAGCCTGGGAAAACCTACACTGCTCATCAATTGGTTTGTTTTCTTCTCCTTGACAGCCCCTATAAGAGGTAAGTAATTTATTTTACAAATAGGAACAACAAAGTATGGAGTATAAAGTATGGAGAAGCAAAGTTACTCACTCAGTGGCAGTGATGGCAACCCATAGGATGGCTCAGAACACCAGTGTTCTAGCTCTGCTTGTACCGCAATGCTCCCCTATGAGGCACAGCCTCTTGAGGGATTGGGGTGAAAGGGATGGCTGAAGAAATGCATCTGTGATATAGGACGTGTTGTTAGTGCTTCAGGGAATACACTGGGTGCTCAGAGATTCATTAGTCCCTAGTAGATGCATTTGAAAATAGACTAATTATTAGCACTGATAATTGTTTTTTCAGTTTTAGTTTTGATTATGCTGATTGCTTACAAACAGATGCAGTTAAACAGGGATATTTCAGAGAACATGGCCACCCTATACTTATATTTACTTGTTTTACCTTCGTTTGATCCAATTAATCTGTCCAGTTGTCCTATAAAGCCAACTAAGTTTAGAGCATGTCCATTGATTTGGGGAGCTGCAAATCTTGTTTTTAAAGTCCTTAGGGTCACCAGAACTTCTGAGTAGTTTTACAGCATGGTATTAATGGTGGAGAGTAAATGGCTGATTTCATACCAGGTTTGTTCTTCTCCACAACAGAGAAGAGGAAACAGTAGGAGGAAAGCAAGATATCACATAAGAATTAAAATACTTTTTCCAGGTTTTGAAAAATAGCTTGTCAAGTTGTACCTGAGATTTGAGCCTCTGGTGCTGTAAGTTACTCATGTAATAGCTGTGCAGTTTGGCACAGTAAGAATCCATTTTCTTCAAATAACCTGCAAGACATTCTTATGACAAGGCTTATTTGATTGCTTGCAAAGTGCTCACATAGGGCTTTTGTTTAACAAAACTATGGCACAGCAGTTGGCATCAGGACTTTTCTAAAGCTATGCCTGCTTGGCTCCTGCTGTGCTTAATTACAGAATCTAGTGCTTGACATTGTCCTATTGGAAACTGGGAGTAAAGAGGAATTAACCACCCAGAAGTTTTTAATCAAAAGTTGACACTGTGTTCCTTGACTGGGAATCAAACCTAGGATACAGCAGTGAGAGCACTGACTTCCTAGCCACTAGACCACCAAGGAGATAAGACAACTGCTCCTCCATGCATCATGGGCTTCCCATCACTAGTTCATACACGTCCCATCCCCCAAAGTGAGACTCACAACATAGCTGGCATGACAGGTTGAGATCTGCTCTTTACATCCATTCCATGCCCTTGATGCAAGGCGGTTCCAATAACATGGCGGTTTCCTGCAATAGGCTGCACTTACATTAAAGAATTATTCCCGGAAATTCTCTTACCAATGTCATTAGATCAAGGTGACCAGAATGACTATACTACGATTTTAGAATCTAGTCCCTAGTTAATGGTTTCAAACAACTTAAAGTGCTAGTTAGCGGCTCATTTAGTTATTGCTCCCAGTGATATGGGCAGATTCTAGTCTTTTCACATTACTGTAGTCTGCAAACCAAGGGAAATGGCCATTTACTGATGTGAAAGCTGTAGGCAGTGACAAGACTCCTGAGAACACACTAGTCACAGAGCCCTTTCGGTAATCCCAGCCACAGTGGCTATCACAGCACCGAGACAGGAGTGTAATCAGAGGTGGCTAGAAGCAGGTCTGATAGTAAGTGAAGGGCACGGATTCCTTGCCAAGCGCAGTGAACAAGATCTTTGTATTTTTAATGACTACATTTTAAGACGATATAAAAGTACATACATTGTCCAAATTGACAGAGTTAAGGATTTGGGGGTGGAGGTATTGCGCTATTTTGTTTTCAATGCCAATTTAGGCCCCTGTCCATTTTGATTGTTATGCGATGCCTTTGGTGCACCATAGCCAAGGTTGATTTTTATTTTAGCAGGTTGTTTTGATACTAATTATGGATACACAGTCAGGTTTTTTCCTTATTCATAATCTAATCTAATACTAACCTATGTCTAATCTATAGTTTAGATTTCTGTATGGCCATGGTTTCCAAATAGGTAGTCTACATTCAGCCTAACGTTGACCTAAAAATGGACAAATAAAATGAAAGCTTGAACAAGAGAACTTCCCTGAAGTTGTTTGCTGCACAAGTATAATCGGTATCAAGTCCTATGGCTTAGAAAAGCAAGGGGAAATTTAGGGACTGGATGGCTCAGGCTGGTCAGTTTACAGAGCTTCCCCTTCAGGGTTGCTGGCTCAAGACTAAAAGTGACCCAAAATAGGCACATCTCCCAAGGGATTGGTGACTTGTGTGACGAGCTGGTGGTCTAGTGGACAGGTGTCCTCACTGCACAAGGCTGACACAGACTGAGCATTGTCACAGCGGCCAAGAACCAAATGGGCCATGGAAACCAAATCCCCTCCACTGCCTTCAGGCAGGCAGTCCCTCCACAGCAGCTAAGGAGTTCCATGCCAGGCAGGGTGCGGAATGTAGTATTGCTATTGTCCAGGCTGTAGCTGCTCTAGAGTGAAGAGGGAAGAATTTAGTTCTGCAATGTGTCACTCCAGCCCTAAGCCCACTCCTTTGAGAAAGGCCATGCAAGAGCAGCTGCTGCAGAGACACTCCCTGTCTTATTGCCATTATGACTTTTACAAACTCGCAGTGTTGGAAAGCTTGAGTTTTGATAGGCTCGATACGAGTCTGCATATAATGCATTATATGGGAGGATATGGCAGCAATTCCAAGATTGGATTTTCTACCCAAAATAGCTGGATATGGCTGAGGGAGGAGGAAGAAATGTCAGTTTTTGTGCATGATTTAGGAGAAGGGAATTTTTTTTTAAGTTAAAATAGCATACTCCAGGTTTAAGAAGAAACCAGCCCTGTTCACCATCTGCTGAGTGTCTGCATGCGAGAAACGGGGCTGGTGCAAGAACATTACTAACTGACACTGGAGTCGTCTGCCAAGAGGCACTAGTGCTGCAGACACTCCCAGTAGTTATTGTTCCAAGTGAGCAGGTGTGGGTTAGGGCAAGGAGCATCACAGTAGACAATGCAGGGGATGTGTAGGAGCTACAGAGGCTATCGCATCAAAAGCTTCTGCCCCGTGAATTACCAAGCACAGTTTATTTTGAAATCCAAGCTTGCCCTACAAAGTCACATCACAGTGATGTACCCAGCCAGGCCTGGTTGCCACTACTTGTACACACAAGAGACCATTTAGATTACTACACAACGCTTTTGCTGCTGAAGATTCCCCTCTGCTACTCATGACAGAAAAATCAGAAGGGAAAGAAGTGCGATTGCTCACTGGCCTCGGGAGCTAGCCGGATCCAGCTGGATCAACTCTGACTGATCCAACAGTTCAAAGTCATCCCCTTCTGCATCCGTGTCCAAGTCGGAGCTGGAGGTTCTAAGATAGGTTTTTGTGCCTCTCTGGGGATTGTCACTGCAAACAGGGCCTGGCTCAGAGGCTCCTGACAAGGCTAATTGTATCATGCCCCTGGTGACAAATCCAGCTAAGTTATTTGTAAGATTGTGCACAGATGGCCCTGCCCCAGTTAGGAGCTCGGGGACAGCTTCGCCTCGGTCATACGGGTGACGTAGATCTTCAATGCCTTGAGAGCGGTAAGCAAGGCTGGGAATCCCAATGCTGGTGTCATCTTCATCATCTATTCCAGTCACCTCTGGATTAATGGAAGGGAAGTCAGGGAGATCCCTGGCAAAAGATTCTTCAGGGTCACTGTGACCATCGAGATCTAGAAGGGAAAAATAAACAGCTGTAAGCTTACAGCATGGGTCACCCAAACCCATTAGGCAAGTGCCACAGACAGTGCAGCCATCTTTGATAAAAGGATCATCCTGGTCCCCAAATACACCACCCGCTTGCATCCTCTGCCCAAGCTACACTCAATGTCACTTTCCCTTTGGCAGCCACAACAGACAAAACTTGCTCTCCCATCCAAGAGCAAGGACACTGCAGGGGTGGCTAGTGCCAACAGAAAGCATGTCTTCCCTGCATGGACACGCATCTCGGTTTAAACCAGGCTTACTTCAGTTTCTCTCAAATCAATTAGGAACAGATTAAAATAAACCAGAATACACCAGAATAACCAGTGTAACATTTCCATACTGGAAAGCCTTGGACCATCCATGTGCCTACCCTGGCAGACTTTCTGGTTAGACCAGCTTGGCAGTTCATATTCCCATTTTAAGGATTATTCATATTCTGTCCACAGCTCCTGGAAGAGGAGAATTAGCTGCCTCCATTTACTAGTAGCATGAACAAGAAACATGCTCAGATTGTCATTTTGTACCAGCATCAGGTTTTGCTGCTCTCCCAAAGCACTCAGGGCCATATCTAGCAACCATATGTAGAAACTGGACCTGTTCAGCCAGGACAGTGAACTCACAGAAACCTGTGGGAGAACACTTTAACCTGTCCGGGCACTCATTAATGGATCTCAAAGTCACCGTGTTGTTTCAGGCCAATTCCACAAGCCAAATACACAGGGAAGGGTTGGAACTTAACTTCATTTACTAGTTTGATTCCTATCAGAGAGGAATGAATGAAGATATTGGCTGGCTCCCACACTACCTTCCACATCCTAATGACTGAACCAACCAACGGGTACTTATAGAGGTGCAATTCGTTCTTATCAGCCTCTTGTAACTTGAACAATCTAATTCACTATATATTTCTCTTTTTTTCCCCCCTCCTCTTCTCCCCCCCCCGCCTTCCCTTATTTATTCTTGGATCTGGAGTTTTAATACTCCAATCATCTGAAGAAGTAGGTTGTACCCAGGAAAGCTCATGAGACCATCTACACGTTTTGTTAGTCTGTAAGGTACTGCTAGACTATTTGTTGTTTAAGTTTCTTCATCCCGTGGCAGCTAGCAGGTGTTTACATTAGATACCAGAGCTCAATTCTCAGAGGATGCACCTGGTCTGTTTTCCTCATTTCCCTCCTTAGGATCCACCACACTGAAGCATGTCCAGTAGAGTCCCTTTGCTTTTAGAAGACTGTTTCTTCTCTCACCTTCAGATCCCTCAGTCAGTGGAGTCTGTCCCCTTGACAGGTTAAACGTCCCGTTCTCAGTGTAGGAAACTTCAGCATCTGAATGCTCAGAGTCAGAGATAGTCAGTTCCTTAGCAACTACAGAATCATCCAGCTTTGAAGCAGAGAAGAAAATATAGTTAGAACATCAGCCCTACTGGCTAAGGCTGTTCCTTTGCTCTAAGCAAGAAAGATTCTGACATGTTCCCACATGCTGCTTGTTTGCCACCCTGCGACTCCAGGGCAAGGACATAAAAACGGCCATACTAGATCAGACCAAAGGTCCATCTAGCCCTGTATTCTGCTTTCTGACAGTGGCCAATGTCAGATAACAGGTAATCAAATTATCCATCCCCTGTTGTCCATTCCCAGCCATGACAAACAGAGGCTAGGGACACCATCCCTACCCATCTTGGCTAATAGCCATCAATTGACATATTCTCCATGAATTTATTTTAGCTCTTTTTTAAACCCTGTTAAAGTTCTGGCTTTCAGAACATCCTCTGGCAAGGAGTTCCACAGGTTTGACTGTGCAATGAGACACAAAATACTTGTTTGTTTTAAACTTGCTGCCTGTTAAATTTCATTTGTGACTACTAGTTCTTGTGTTATGGAAAGAGAAAATAATACTTTAATTTTTTCACACCAGTCTTGATTTTATTGACCTCTATCACATCCCCCTTCCCTTAGTCATGTCTTTCAAGATTAAAAGTCCCATCCTTATTACTCTCTCCTCATATGGCAGCTGTTCCATTTCCCTAGTAATTTTTGTTGCCCATATTTGAACCTTTTCTAATTCCAATCTATCTTTTGTGAAATGAGGCGTCTACATCTGCACACAGTGTGGGCGTACCATAGATTTATATAGAGGCAAGACGATATTCCATTCTCTTCTCCCTCCCTTGCTAAATGATTCCCAACACTGTTTGCTTTTTTTGTTGCCGCTGCACACTGAGTGGATTTTTTCAGAGAACTATTCACAATGACTCCAAGGTCTCGCTCTTGAGTGGATCCCATCATTCTATATGTAGAGTCGGGATTATGTTTTCCAACATGCATTACTGTGAGCGCTATGAAGGAGGGGGTGTTGGACAAGGGGGGGAATGGGATGTGCTCTGCAATATACTAATGGCCAGTGCAGGTGCAGCATCTGGCTTTGAAAAAGGGTTTATAGCAGGAGCATGGAAAAGGGAACACATCTGTGGGAGCTAGGTCCATCACACTGAAGGATTAAGAAGTTCAAGCTTTTATGATATGCCAATAAGATGTGGGTTTAGTTAAGTGGGCTGGGCGCACTGCAGCCAGACTCATTTGGGAGCACAGCAAGGCTTGACAGTGTATGAAACCTGCAGCCAGACTCTGCCCAGATGTTCCTTGCCACCAGATACGCAAGGTTTGGGGCCAGAGCATTCCAAGGCTGCAGTTTCATCACAAACCTGATTCAGACACACAAAAGCTATCAGCCTCCAGTGCATTTTCTCCACAGAATTTGCCCAGCTGCCAGGTTACCTTGGGACAGAATGCAGCAAGTTCTTCTTCACTGTCACTTCCAGTGTCAGCATGCTCCTGGTTCAGCGCTCGCTGACGCACTGTCATGAGTCAGAGCAGAAATCTCCCATTATTGCCAGGGCAGACAAGGCAACGTTTGAGCAGAACATTAGACCGAGCAGAAAGTCACTTCAAAGGCAGACCCGGGGGTGTCAATCTCTCACAGATCAAAACACTTTTGCATTAAATGGAGGCTCTAGTGGTTTTGATTTGGACTCTTGCAGAGCTAGCACCAAGAAGGAACCTGCTCATGTCGGAGAGAAATGCTACAGACAAAAATCAGCTTTCACTAAGCAGCACTTAGTGTCATTGTGTTCCCACAGCTGAGAAAGGAGGAAGGATGGGAGCCCTTGGGACTTTGTAGGAAGCTCTCATCTGAAGCAGGGACCCAGCGTAGTAGCACAACTTCCTGTCTGCGGAAGGGTGTGAATAATCGACAAGAGAATACGAAACGAATGTTGTGCTACACATGCAGTTGCTGCGACGCCCTGAGACTAGGGGTTTATTTCAAGGGCTGGCTGTTTGTCTGGCTAGCTTCCGACACTCTTAGAGACTTACATTGCTTCACTCGCTGCTTTGACATCATGTAGCCTCGAACGCTGAAATCCAGCCGCTGCAGAGCTGGCTCCAGCTTCAGGTACATGCGTTGCCCCAGTTTGTGGTACACTGCGAGGGGCCATAGCAGGATGAAGAGCACTGAGGTAAACGGGGAGGCTCGTTAGAAAACTTGCCCATGCTACTTAACAGATCTGTCAATCAAGCAATTTGGGATGCAGTAGAACGATATAAGCCTCAGTTTTGCTGTGCTGCATGCACACACGCCAGTGTCAGGAGCTAGATAGAGAGCTGTGCAATCTGTGCTGATTTACTAGAACAACAACAACAACCACCAACATACTAGAGCATTTAGCGTACGTAACTGCCAAGACAGACATGCACATTGGCCAGTTAGCCCTGAACACACTCTATCCGGCCTACCATTTTAACTTTCAACTGCACTATACAATATTGTACTTGTCAGAATGTTAGCTGTGCATATAAGCTGCACCTTTGAGCCAAAGTCAGCAACACTGTCCCAGCCTTCTGCTTACAATATCTTGTTTGACTATACTTACGCATAAGGTATGAGAGCAGGACTCCAGGAATGTACCGGCCCAGAACAGCCAAGAAAGTAAAGACTCCACATACTAAAAGACAAAACTGGAGGCATGGGAGAAAAGATGAGTTTCCAAAGCAATGAAATAAGCGAATCAGGAGACTTCAGATGGTGTAACTGGATTATTGTCTATAGAGTTCCAGGCCAGGCAGCAACAGATAAAATATTGGCAACATGGTTCCAATACTGAATAAGTAGCAAAACAATCTTATTTTAAGAGTCTTTGTCTACCCCCCCTAAGAAAACCTTGGCAATCCAAAGGGAACTTAAGTTACTGTTCTCTGCTATAGGTCGGATTAGATTCTACAACATCTATGTGACAAGCAGCTATAAGGTTGTGGGACCCGGTCCCCACCAAAGGAAAGTATAGGGGCATGTTTAATGCAGCTGCAATCAGTGATAATATTCAAGCTTTTCTTACAATCCATACAATCACAGTTGTCATTAGGCCAACACAGGTTTTCTTTTCTATAGGACTCAAGGGGGAAAAAATGGATTCTCAAACCATGCCCTGGTCTGGTTTTTATGTTATTAAAAGCTAGACTCAGGGGAAGAGCTGTGACGTTAATAGACATTTCACACCAATTGCCATAGGAGGAACAGTGACATTTACAGCTAAATAAAAACAAAATAAAATCATCATGCAAAGCTGCCACCTCCCCGCCCATTCGCTCGCTTGTTCTATCCCATCCCACCTCCCTGGCAGGGAACATCTTGTGTTTGGAATGCCCGTGTCTGGATGCTCCCACAAGACGGAGCAGCTGTCTGCATCATAGATTAGATGCCAAATGTTTAGTTTGCCCAACCATGTATGCTCTTACCTTGCCAGGATTTTGCTTTTTGAAAATGAAGAGATTCCTTAAGAAGGTGACCCCAGTCACCCATCCTTCTGCTAAATGGTGACACAGCTCCGGCACACTCAGCAACTGAGGGTGAACGTAGCCCCAGCTACAGAGAAGGTAGAATAATTAGTGAGCAGATGTCTCAGCCACACGGCGTTATTAAACTGATGCTAACATAGGACACACTTCATCACAGAGCAGTGTTTCATGACCACTCCTCCACCAACTGCCCCAAGTCCAGAGACCAGACTTGACACTTGGAAAAAATCAAATAGCTAGCCCCACAAGCCATTCAATACATACCCCATTTTTCTTTAAATTGGGGACAGCTAATAATTAGCTAAGTACTGCAATCAGAATGCAAGAGCTTCATCATTGCTGGGTGGAGGTCAAAGGCAGCTGGCAGGCCCCATGTTGTGCCAACTCCCTTAGCAATCATGTGCATCTTATTAGAGCCCAGAAGGATTGTGGCGATCATTAACAGTTCAGAAAGAGCTGCAGTGAAATGGAGGAAAACCCTGCTTGAAGTTTCATCTATTAGTTCAACTAAGGCTGAGGCAGGGCATTAGTTATTTCTTGGTGTTTACACCCCCCTCCTTCTCCCTCCCGGTAGGAATTCAGTGCCAAGTTTCCACAGAGCACTGTGACCTACTTAGTGGAAATTCATTGTCTTTTGAAAGGCTACTTTTGGGAGCCTCTGTTGGTGCTTAATAACCTTAGGTCACATGGTATCTGTGCCTGTGGAACAGTGCTTCCTTTTGCACCAGGTCACTTGCAAGAGACACACTCGTTCGCCTGATCGAGTGTCACTGTTTTCTAACCTTTGAGGAGTTTTACAGTGTCATGTTTGAAAGACTGATTTGGCTAGTTAGGGCCACAAAGCAGATGATAAAAAGCGTAAGAACCACAAGGAAAGGGATAGACACAGAGAAAATATCATAATGCCACTTTATGAATCTATGGTGTACCCACACTTTGAATACTGTATGGAGTTTTGGTTGCCCCATCTTAAAGGATTAGAATTGGAAAAAGCACAGAAGACGACAAAAAAAATGAATAGGAGTGAGTATCAGCTTCCATTCGAGGCGATTTAAAAGACTGGAATTGTGTAGCTTAGGAGAGAGACAACTGAGGGGGGATAAGACAGAGGTCTATGAAATCGTAAATGATGTGCAGAAAGTATTATTTACCCCTTGATACAACATAAGAAGTATGGGGTTACCTCATGAAATTAATAAGTAGTAGGATTACACTCAACCTGTGGAACTTCTTGCCAGTGGACGTTGTTAAGAATTAAAAAAAAAGAATTTGACAGCTTCATGAAAGATAAGTCCATCAACTAGAAGGTGGGACTGGACCACAGAGGATGGATGGATACTGCCCTGTCTGACAGGATGAACAAAACATCAGGCACTGGGGCCCAGAATCCTCTTCTGACAATGGCCAGTGCCTGATATTCTGTTCATCCCCTCATTTTTGTCCTCCATAGGACAAAACCTCAGGAGAGTTCTAGTTCTGTTGCTAATGCTGCACACAGGGCCTCACTAGCCACCAGGGAAGCCTGCTGCACACCCAGCTTTGGTCAGAGAAGTTTGACAAGCTTTTTTTTAAAGCAGTGGGGTCTTTCCACACTGACGTGAACATTATGCCGGCTTTATACAAGAGGCGGCGTAGGCAGACAGAGGTTCAGTGACTTGCCCGATGTCACAACGAACGCTCTCTGGAACTTAGCAGACACGGCAAACATGCAAAAACTGTTGACATTTTGTCGTCATAACACAAAGTACAGGTTGAACTTCCCTGGTCCAGCATCCTCGGGACCGGAATGGTCCCAAACAAGGAATTTGCCGGATATGAGGAGGTCAGGTGTCTGGGCTCTCCCAGGGCTCCCTTCCTGGCTGAACCCAGAGGCCTGACCTCTCCCTGCCCTCAGCTCTGCGTGGGGCAGCAGCTGCTACTGAGGTTCCCTGGCCCCCAGGTCACTGGTCCTGCAAGCCGCTGTTGACTAGATCTGCTCTGCTCCCAGCCGCTCTCAACCTCTGCGTCCGGGGCTCTCTGACCTAGCAACATCTGTGGTCTTGCCAGACCAGAGAGTCCTGGAACAGAGGGGTTCAACCTGTGCAAACATAAAAGCAAACAACCAACAAAAAATGGATTTAATTAACATTCCATACCTCTCATTTTCCAATTCATCTGATCTTGCCACTAAAATAGTAAGAACAGACACTGAATTAATTGCAAGGAATTTTGCAATGAGTACACTCAGATAATAGGCACTTAAATAAAACTTGTTCCAGGCTGGGAAACAGCCAGTGTGAGGGTTAAAGGTAATTAACCAAAAGTCTGTTGCTCTGCATCGTATACTCATACCGTGGCCTGAGACAGCCCTGCCCTCTGTGCCATGGCAGGTACCATTAGAGAGTGACTGGATAGTCATTCTGTTCTGCGAGTCACTACTAGTTCATTTTAGCCTTAACCACAAGCAAGAACTACCAGCCCTATTTCAACATGCAACCTACACACCCCTTACTGTACTGGCTGTGCTGAGGGTTGGACAATTTACTCAATTTAGAGACATCCAGGAGACCTTCACTTCCCAAACTGGGACTTGGTAAGTGATCCAGGGATAGGCTAGCTTGGATAACTAGCAGAATCAAGGGACTTGAATATACAATCCTCAAGATAAGTGGAAACAACTAGCAGCACCCTGCCAAGCTTCCAAAGAAAGCTGAAGTCTGGAATTACTGGCAGCTTCTGGGCCTCCGCTTGTGTTGTCTCTTGGAAGACAATTAATGCTTATTACACAACCTCAACTAGTTAGCCAGGGAGTTAGCCCTTGGGAGCACACAGATCACACACTAATTTGTTTTTGGGTGGTGAATGGGAAGTGCATCAAATCTCATCACATGTTCAAGGCAAGGATGGTGGAGTTCTACATTAGAGCAGGTGATTTACTTTGGGGCCAACTTGCTTCTTCTGTGTAGTCAGTCCATTGTGGGCACTACTGGAATATGAAAGTGTGTCAATCAAGGTGTTTTTTTTTAGGTGCCTAGAACAATTGCTGGGTTTCATGAACTGAGTTGGGTGCCTAGGCTCCCTGCACAGTGAATGGGTAGAGATCACAATGGGATTCACAAAAGCCCACACTCAAGTGTCTCCTCACCTACGCTAGCCAATCGGAGGAGTCAAACTGAGGGGTCTGTCTGTACTAAGTTCTACCCCTCAGAGATAGCATCTCCCTCTGCTGGGGATTCTCAACTGCAAATCCTCTCTTGGCACTAGGTAAGGAGAGGATGACCATCCTCTGAAGTTTTAGCCAAGTAGTTAGGGCCCTCAAACAGGATCTCCCACACCCCAGATAAGTTCCCCGTCCACCTCAGGGAGAGAAGGGATTTTAACTGGGATCTGTCACCTCCCAGATAATGCCCATAACCACTGGGATCCTCTGAGGTGGGGCTGCTTCACTGTGCCAAAATTATTTTTAAAAATTCACTGGGCCAGAGAGCAACAGACCTGGCCACATGAGCATGCAGGCATGAGAATGACTTGCAGACCAGTGGTGTGGGAGACCCAGGATCCTGTCCCAACAATTTTTAAGTGATTTATTTACTGTGGAATAGCTTCACTAGAGAGCGCGCTCCTCCCCTCAGGACCATACACCAGTGATTAGGTCGCTCATCTGAAAGGTGGCAGATCCCTGTTTCAAGTCTCTCTTCTGCAGGGGAAGAGGGGACTTGGACCAGGGACTCTCCCATATCCCCACTGTGTTAAGTCACAAGGGAAACACCCCGCCAGCCGTCTATGAAAGCTCACATTCATGGCCCACTTTGAACAGTTTACTGGGTTGGGCTCCACAGGAAGGTTAGGCAGAGGGCATGTGACCTTTCTCTGGTCTGGGTACTGCACTGGGGCTGAGGCGGTCGCATGGCAGCATGGGGCACCTAGAGAACTTCTACTGCTGAAACTTGGGTGCTGGGTGAGTTTAGGCACATGCAGTGTTTGGCAGCAGCTCTGGCCAGATTCTGGGATTTACCCACACAAGTCTTGCTGTGAATCTAGCCTCTTGCGACTCTGTCCAAATCATATTTACAACCAAATTGTGCAGAGAAAGAGCCTGATGGGGAGTTGAAAAATAAGTGCTATTTTCAGAAGCCAGCTGAAACTACTTCATCTTACCTTTAATTTCAGGCCAGATTTTATTCTTCCACTGATCTAAACAAATTATTATTATCAGGCCAAATGCAACCAAGAACACCAGCCGAAGGGAAGTCAGTGCCAAAAAACTGAAAAAAAAAAAAAAAAAGAAACAAAGAGTCAGTGCATGGGTCTGTTTCTTCTGTTACACGAGGCCTCTCAAATGACACCCCTACTTAGAGGCACTGACCAACTGGATTGGGTGAAGTAGTAAGAAAAACACTCTATTGGTCTTTGGGGGCAGCAGATAGCTAGAATCAAAACTATATCAGAACTAATGGAACTGGATGTTCCTGTTACTCACATGTTCAGAGTTTAAACCTAAAATGTATTTTAGAAAGGAAACAGGCTATTTTAAAGATACCAGTTTTATCTTACTCTTGAAATTACAGGGAGTCCAGCAACTAATATCTGCAGCAAGACACCATAAGCTGAGTAATGTTTGCACCACTAGTGTCAATCTGTCAGCATTTCCAAAAGCCATGTCAATATTAAAGACTACTGACTTCGTGCACAATTCGGGATCTAGCAGACACCTCCAATTCTAAGTCAAGCTTCAAACTGCTTTTTAAATTACTCAGGAAGTAGGACATAGATAATTATATTCATACTTAAAAAAACAATAGTCTGGCAGTACTTTAAAGACTAACAAAACATGTAGATGGTATCATGAGCTTTCGTGGACACAGCCCACTTCTTCAGATGACCAATTATATTCATGACTGTTCTGTCTCTTGTATCCATTGCATCTCAGACTAACCAGCTAGCCTGGAAAGGGTTATATGATCGAGGAAGTGAGGACAAACTAATCCTTCACTCATTAGTGAACTAATCCTTCACTCACCAGCTAGGAGGGCTGGTTGTTTATACCAAGTTGCTTCTAGAACCCTAAAGAAATGTTTCATGTTTGTTCAGGGTTTCTGTGCCGCATGGCCTCAGTCTACAGCCTGTCTGATGGAGGCCATCGGGGGCCAAAGCACTTATTTAATCATAGTCATCCAGACTGTGCAGGACGTGTGTTTGTCTAGCATAAAGCATAAGCTGGTAGGGCCCAGCAAGTGATAGGTGCCATGCAGGAAATTCATAGGTTAAAGATCAGGCACAAAGACAAGTTAAAAAAGCTTGCTGTGAATTAGGGATGTGAATATTTAACCAGTTAATCGGTGAGGCTTATTGGTTAAGGTTAACTGGTGGGGGCAGCTCCAGTGCCCCAGCTGGAACAGCCTCTGTCCACAGTGGGGGGGGCCAGTCCTCCCCTTTAACCAATTTAACAGGATTTTACATCCCTGTTCACAACACCCCCTGGCAACGAGAGCCAAAGTCTGATTGTGTGTTTTGTGAAAAAGTACTTCCTTACATTGGTTTTTAAATCCACTGCCTATTCATTTCATTGGGTGACCCCCCACAGTATTTGAATTATCTGTAGGAGTAAATAAGACTGCCTGATTCACTCTCCCCATGCTATTCATGAGTGTATAGACCACTATCATATCCCTCCCCTTAGTTGTCACTTTTCTAAATTGAACAGTCCCAGTCTTTGAACCTTTTCTCTATTGTAGATAGCTTAAATCTTTAATCTCTTAAACTACTGAATGTGTGCTTGTTTTGGTATGTAGCAAGGATTTTAAACTCTAACTGGCATTGTGCCATGCTCTGTGCAGCTGAGTTCGTGTGGGGAAAATGCTGTATTGGGAACAGCTATGCAGCATTTCTTCTGATTCCATCAGGTTGCTGTACTTAATCGACTCACAATAAGGATGTGAAGGTTTAACTGGTGGGACTAGAGAAGCTCCCGGCCTGCTGCAGGTAGGGGATGCTCCAGCCCCACGGGGCACCCACCACAGGCAGGAGCTGCTTCGGTGAAGCGCCTGGACGGGCTTGTACAGCCCCTGCCTGCAGTAGGAAGGTAGGGAAAAGGTGCGTTCCAGCACAGTGGCAGGCTGGAGTACCCCCCAATCAGCCCCTTCAATCAGTCAACGAGTTAAACAATATGTTTGACCAGTTAGCCAATTAAATGGGATTTTACATCCCTAATTCCACAGTCCAAGGTTCAGAAGCTCAGCTATCAGTAAGGCAATATGAATATGTCTGCTGTGAAATCCATCCGGACAAATACACAGTGCAAGTAGAGGCACACAGTAAGCAGCAGAAATTGTTCAGTTCTGAAGATTGGCTATACGCCTAGATGAATCAGGGTGGGCCCAAACCAAAAAAAACAGCCAACAAGACAGAGATGCCTCCCTACGCCAAACATCAGCACGTGGGTTTTTTTGGTTTTGTCAGAACACACACAAAGATCAGTTATAGCCTAGCAAACATTAATTACAGCTAAAGCGGGCATATGCAGTGATTTCATGATAAGTGCATGCTAACAGTTAACCCTCTCCCCCAAAGGGTAGTTTAAAATCAGAAGATTATTTGTTGAAAACCCAGAGGAACAGGTACTGCATGGAAGAAGTAACTTTCCATAAGCCTTCCTGCTATCCCCGGGTATTAGACAAACACTACAGTTACGAGCGGTCCCTCAAACAAGACCATGTGATCAGCTTCTTATGGTAATGAAGGATTGTCCAGTAAAAGCAGTTCCTCCCACGCCTCCTGCCACGCACAGCATATACCAACTCTACTCTCTAAGACGAGGAGGGCAAAATATGGCCCGGCAAACCTTCAGATGCAGCTTCCCACCCTCTGGGAGCAAACGACCTGCAGGACCCTCAGGCAGACTCCCTGCCTGCTGTGGCCCCACCTGCCACTCAAAGTGGCCAGCTGCTAGGGCCATGTGTCTTTCTGAGGCATGTGCCCCTTGGGGGTAATAGGGATTAGGGATGTAACAGTGTAGTCGGTTAAACGATTAACCGATAACGCTACTGGCTACATGCAACCCTCCCCCCTTCTGGGGCTCTGCATTTAAAGTATTTTGGCAGCTGGCACACAGACTAGAAGATTTATCTGGTGTTGCTTGAGTCCTCAATGTTTGTTTTTTGGAAAATAAAAATTAAAACGTATATGCTACATTTAAGTCATTGCTCTGGTGGGGCTGGAGATGCACGCAGGCTGCCCCAGACCTCTCTCACTGCAGCAGCTTGGGGCCAGGTGAGAAGTGCTTCTCCATGGTCACTGCAGCTCCAGTAGGCACAGTCGGGGGAGGGGTGCATGTCCCCTTGCGACGGCAGGTACAAGTTCATCTGTCCCCGCACACCCCAGCCAGAACAGGGACATTAAAGTCAGTTAAATAGATCAGTGTTTCTCAACCAGTGGTACAAGCACCCTTAGGGGTACTCGAGAGAAGTCTGGGGGGTACGTCAACAGTTTTGGAGAAAACTGAATTTTTGTTTCAAGTTTTAGTGCTTTATTATTTTTGTATTTTTTACACCCAAAAATTTCATCACCCGCCTGGCTACAATTAAGTTGTTTAAACAAATATGTTACAATGGTAGAAAAAAAAGTAGTGTGTCTGAAAACTAAGTACTGGGGCTATTTTTTTTTTTTCCAAAAAGGGTACTTTATAAAAAAAAATAATGATGTAACCGCTGAAAATCTCAGCGGTTACCTGCAGCGGACTCTGCAGTTTAAAGCTTAAATAAGCTTTTTACTGCAGAGTCTTCAGTGAAGCCTCTTTCGGAGCAGGGCCACCAGCCCCCAACATCCCTAAGTCAGAGTAAGGAATGCAGCAAACTACAGTTTCCATTCACTCCCTGATGAAGGGGAACAGCCAGCAGTGTCCTCATTCAAGGGCACCTGGGGGGAAGAGAGGAGGGCATCCAGCCTCTTTTACCTGCCTAGTGACGTTGTCTCTTTTTGATACGGTTTTAAGAGAAGAAATGTCATTCCACGCCCATCCCATTTTCCTGGCACAACCAAACCCTTACATTGCTTTAAAGTTATGATCAGAGGAAGCTGCCTACCGAATTTGGTGATCCTAGCTCTTACCATTTAGGAGGAGTTCTTGAACAGAGACAAACTCTCTAAAATATCTAGTAGATGAAGGGTCAGACCCACTAGTTCCACTTTAGTCAATTTCTCCACGAAGGGCTGTTCTCCCACCACCCCATGCTCAGTCCCCTGAAAGTAGTATCTGCACTTGTAGTTACCCAGACAAGAATCCTCTTTGGCTAAGTAGTATCATTGGCTCAGACTCCCTTTGGAACACATCATTCTCTTGCAGTCAGAAAGATGCAGACAATCCCCAGGGAGGAGAGGGAAATGAGTGAGAGAGCAGTGTTACAACCACTCAAACTTTCTCATTTGTTTTAAGTCAGCTACCCCCAGCTGCATGAGGCTATTGGAAGACCATGGGACAGAGTTACAAAAACATATTGCAACTGATGAAGTCAAAACTAGCCTACCAGTCACTCCTGACTTTCAAACTAGAGATACAGAACTCACAACAAAGGACTGGTTGGTAACCTTGCAGTTCTACTATCTTGCAAACTTTTTATGTTTAGACTTGGCAGAAGAGAATTCTCACCATTATGTTTTACACTCAAGCTGTAGGTTAGCAGCTATTCTTTTTGGTAGCACATGCTTACATACGACAAACCTAAACTTGAATTACTAGCTGCAACCATTTAACAGCACCAGAATAAGTTTACTGAAAGACACTTGAACATCCATTTTCGGCACAGGGGCCTGTTAAATAAATAGTTCCATGCAGCCATGGACTGCCAGAAACACACTACTGAACCAAAATAATCACACACATCTTTATTAGAACAGCTCAAACACTAATATTTCTCTGCAGGAGAAAGATCAATGCACTTCCTTGTGGGAGAAGAGAAAATGGCTATTTACATGGACTAACCAACTGACAAAGACTCTAGAACTTCACATGACCTGTTTACTCATGTCATGAGAATCCACTCAAGGCAACAGATGCTACCAGCTTGCTGACAGACCACATCTGGGCTGTCAGCTGCCCGCGTGTTCCACCGCTTTGCTCCCCGTCCCCCTGGTCTGCAGACCAGGGAGACGGGGAGCAAAGCAGAGCAAAGCCGCGGAGCACGTGGGCAGCGGACAGCCCAGACGCGTCTGGGCTGTCTGCTGCCCGCGTGCTCTGCCACTTTGCTTCCTCTCCCTGGTCTGCTGGAGACCAGGGAGACGGGCCCCGTTTGTAACTGCAGATCCGACGTAAGTCGGATCCGCGTAACTCGGGGACTGCCTGTATTTTTGCCCACAAAAGCTTATGCCCAAATAAATCTGTTAGTCCTCTAAGGGGCCACAGGACTCCTTGTGTTTTTGTGGATACAGACTAACATGGCTATCCCTCTGCTACACATCAAAAAGATGTATCAACAGGACATTAATGTCCTACACCTAGTCAGTCACTAAAAAAACTACTCTCACTCAGAATTAATCCAATCTACAAACCCCTTAGACAATAAATATTCCACACAGAATTGTATGTTGGTTTCCCAGGAACATTTAGCTCATGCCCATGAGGGATGTAAGCAAGCAGTTGAGCGGAGTATTCAAATACTCGCTCCCCCCTTGCTCCATCTGTATTGGGGAAAGGGGACAGGAGCGGCTAGGGGGAACTGGCTTAAAAGCTGTTTTCCCCTGTAGCACCTTTGCTGAGGTGCCACCTGCTCCCCCC